GGTGCGGGTTCGACTCCCGCCTGGGGCACGACTTTTGCCCACAACTCAGCATTCTTGTGATAACCAGGAGGTGGTGTTCAATAGCATCCCAATGCAGAATTGGCACTAACGCCATCCAATAGGAAATACGGTTCTTCAAATTGGTCCACTACTCTGGACAGAGTACAGCTCGTGATATGTGAAATGGTGGTGTCAGTACGCCCCCTACCCGCTCCGGAGAAGGGTCTCGGTACGACCCCCTTCCCTAACACCTACCTACCACTTTCCTACAAGTTCTCCAGCCTTCTTACCAGTTTTTCCGAAAAATTTCCCACATTTTCCAGCATTTTCACCCAAACATTTTCCGTCGTGGCGGGGATGGGGGGCACTCAAAGGCACATACAACCCCGCTCCCCTTCTCCAACCAACGATCAAAACGACCCCTCCTTCCCCAGCGGCCAAATACGCCTCCCCCATGTGTTTCAAAAAACGATGCTGTACCTCCATTCTGCAGCTTCTTCCTTTTTAGGCTTGAACAAAATCCCCTCCTCCGTTTTGGACCTCCCAAATTTGCACGAGGACTTTTTCAAATATCTCTTCTGAGGATTCTGAAACTATAATCCACCCGAATAACTACTGAGATCTGTAGAACCTTTACAGTACTAACCTGGGTGAGGGCGTCGTTTTATATCCCAATAGCTTTTTTCTAGGGCCTTCTTTCACATTTCACATGAATAGCTCACAGTCAGCCGCGACCAACCAGTAGAAAAGGCTTTATTTTCAAAACTACGATAGTCAGTTACTTTTACAAATTTCGCAAATCGTTCTCTTCAGGGCTGGAAGCTGTTAGGTATGGCGATTCCACTTTTCGTTCCTACGCAGTATTCCCTACTCTGGCTACTGAAAAAACACGTTGCCCGATGGTGTATGAAAACGTAAGTGATTTCTTTTCACTTCCGTTGTTAACTCTTTCCCTTCCTTGGCCACCACCTGAATTTGCAGAGGTGACGAGTCCAATATGGCCGAGTACTGTCAGTGTGCACTTGAACGAGTTCTGCGAGTTGGATGTCGAGAAGCTGGGCCCAGTCGACTTGAGACCACTTCCGTTCTCACCAGAGATCCCACCAGCACGAAATTCCCGCATTCGATCTCGGTTCGACTGCCCAATGGACAGTATCAGGTGGGTTCACCAGCTCAACGTCTTCTTCGCTGAGTTTGGTGCTGCGCCAACCCGTTTTTCACCAACTTGTCGCCTACCCGCTTCACCATTTGGTGGAAAAGTGATTGGCGCAGCGCCAGACCCACCCTCTAGTCAACGTGGTATTATCAGGTGGTCGAATTTGACGGATCAACGGAAATCGGGCAGTGTCTCTCCTCTTTGTGCCTGAAACTCGGAATACGGCCTGCTTTACTATCCGGCTATGCTCTCTACATCGATGATCCAACTACAAAAGGGCTACAACTTCTCAAAGGAAAGCAAAAGGTACTGCTACTCCATTTTGAATGCTCTTCAATTTTTATTTATTCATTTACCTATTAATTTATTTTTATATAGTCATAAGATATGAAAGATTGGTGCACCTTGCGATTACTGAGAGCAGCTCAAGCACCTCACATACCCGCCTTAAAAGAAAATGATTGGCGAAATTCACTGGTTCAATTCCTGCTCATCTCGCCCGGCATCGTGATTTACTGCGAGAGGGAAGTTACTAGTTTCCTCCAGGAAAAAGTGGCGATTTCCATTTCACAGCGAGATAGGGCATCGGGCAAAGCTGGGAAGGACCTTGGGCCGAGAACTCCGAGCATCTTTTTCCTTCGTATTCGGGTAAAGTACGATGCTTGAACTGGTAGATTTTCCTGAACGTTCTGACGTGATAGAAAAAGGTAATAAAACGTACGTCCAGGCCGTCCTGGACATTTGCGGTGTGCGGCAAGAGAATCGTAATTCGCCGCTTCAGTGACGTCGCGTGCGACGTCGCGCCCACTAATGACGACGATTTTGGGTGGTATTGGTCGAGAATAGACAATGTATGACCAAAAATAGACATAAGTGTCTACCATGTCCTTGTCTACATGAAATCCGATGCTCCAATCGAAAGGGTAGTGCAAATTAAGGGAACGTCGCGCCCATTGCCATGCGCGACGAAGCGACAACTTACGATTGTCTTGCCCGTCTCCCGGACATTTGAGATAGTAGTATAGGTAAAACTTTATTACAGCTATGCGATTGCCTCTACGAATGGGAGGTCCGAATGAGAGATGTGTTACGTGGGCGAGTCCCAACCGACTGCACAGCCACTCTTTCCTTGCGAATGAGGCACTACTGGAGGCATTTGGTGAGTCCAACACAAAAATCGTGTCGCAACTTTGGTTTATACCGTGTTTCAGACTTGTAATGAGACCCCTATGGAGCGATCTTTCCTTGTGTGGCGGATGGCCGAAGAGCTGGTAGACAGTCGTATTCCAACAAGTCCCCCAGTTGGCTGAACAACTAGCTGCGCTTTACGCACAGGTAACTGATCTTCTTTAGGTTCTTCCTTTTCGATTTTTTCGAATTCTATGAAAATGCTACACGAGAGGGAGAGAAAGAAAGCAAAGAAAGCAGAGTCAAATAGTAAAACTTGGAGTGGGTAGCACGAGGCTCCCGGCACTTTTACTCTTCATTGTCCTCAATATCGACATTCAAGAAGGACGTCGATCGAAAATTTTTCCGGGGTAGTTTCCACTACAATTTCGCTCTCGAATAGTTTGACTTCGTGGTTACGGATATCGTGGCGCTCGGCATGAACACGTCTATTATACACACTACGCCGGAGCCGGGTTGGCAACAGGCAGAGGCTCCAAGATGCAGGCGCCAAACCTTTGGCACACTCGTTTGCGAAGGGTGAAAGTATTCTGGGAGCTCTGGCCAATAATATCCCCGGAGAGAAATCGCGACTTAGGTATGGCCCGATTTTTGAAGGGTATGGCAGAAAAGGGTAAGGGTTCTGAAGGGTTATGGTGAGGCGGAGGTGATGGTACAGTCGCTCATCATTGCGGACGGCGGTAGGGGCGTGTCATGTGCGGCTGCGTTTGGTGCGGTTTTGGCAAAGTTGTTCTGCACCAGTTTTTGAAGCGGGCAAGTGCATTACTGTATTATATCCTTCGTATTACTCGTTTTCTACCACTTTTTGTCGCATACGCGTTGCAACAAAAAGGCTGAGAACGGCTTCAACAGTGTGCGCACTCCTTCTGGCTGACACGCCCCACCGGTCCGCAATGATGAGGACTGTAAGGGCAAATGCGGGCTCTTACCACTCGCGCGGTTCCGGTTTTGAGTTTCCTGAGTCGAACTCCGATCCGCAGGCCAACCAAGCTTGTGGGCCTCCGCAGAGAGTGATTTCGTTCCAGATTCGTCTAGGAAGGATAAGACACCGGAGTTGTACATCGGGTGTGCCCCCGCAAGTCAGTTATACTTAAGCCAGCGGATCGAGTTCAATAAGCCAGTGCGTTTCTGAATGGAGGCAGAATGCGTGCCGCATCCACGAGGGGCAGAAAAGGGTGAAGTAGAGGCAAGGATTGCGCCGCAATCTCAATTGTCCTTCAAACATCGTTATCAGTACACAGGTAGTGTAGCACAAGCATGGGATGCCAAGACCACACCTGTAACCACATTGAAGCATCAAGGGAGGGAGAGGGGGACGGCGGCATTATTACAGACCCTCTTAACAATAGGTGTCAGCACGACCCTAGCTAACCTACAAATCCAAGCTCGTCTACCTCTTTAGGTATATGCGTCCATGGGGAGGGATGTGTATCACGTGGGACGGTAGAAATCTCTAGTCACCTCGAAACATCCTCACATTTTGACAACGATCCAGATCGCCATCAAGCCGTCCTCATTAGGCACGCCTCAGAGGCGGTATGGTTTTCGAAAGGCTGAGAGCTCCTCTTTGAGCGCCGCCTACTCGTTATAATCAAATCAAGGCTAAGGGAAGCTATATGAAGGACATAGGCGGTATAAAGAGCATCAAGAGCGCATATCAATGAGTTCTTTGTACGGCCTTAATCGCCCTCCACATTGACCTCTTTTATGAGCTTTTTCAAAAATAGCCCTACTTTGATCTGCGCCTTGAAAGTTATTCTGTACTCCTCGGAATCAGCACTTCTCTACTACTTCAAGTTGGCACGATAAATCCCTAAGACGAGTAGGATTAATACGCCTGGCAGGACGGAATTCCGCGACCCTGGGCAGGCGCTGCGTAGCGCCTTT